CCCACTGGGGAGCAGGCAGGACCAGGAGCCTGCGTGGGGGCTCTGTGGCATGTGAGGTGGCTGTCCCGGGAGGGTTGGCACACCCCTGCCCCAGAGCATCCTGGAGAGGCAGCAGGAGAGGCAGGGAACCCCGAGGCATCTGGCCAGGTGCCGTGGCTGTGCTGGAGATGGCCTGCCCCAGCCGCAGGTTCGTGGCGTTCAGCCGGCACCTCCCCTCAGCAGCTTGCTCAGCCCTGACCCGGGCAATTCTCCTGCCACGGGACCCGCTTCCTGCTGGGCTCCCCCTTGGATGCTTCTGCCCAGGTCTCCCTGGCCTGCACGGGCGGAACGGTGTTTGGACAGCGCATGCTCACCGCAGCCTGCTGCCTCCACAACGGTGCGGACCACGGAGCCGGGGCAGCTGGCGAGGTGCACGCTGGAGCCCAGGGGCTGGCCTTGCGGCCCTGCAGCAAGAGGCAGGGTCTAGGACTAGCCCTGCTGGAGTCATGCTAGCCCTACCTGTGCCAATATGTAGCAGGGAAGAGGCTCCACTTTGTTGCCCATGCTGTGCCCAGGAGGCTGCTGCGCTTTGTCCCTGCCCGGCAAGTGCCTCGGGGAGCGGGGCCCGTAGGTGCCAGGGATCCAGCCCAGGAGACGCTGGCCAGAGGGCAGCAGCAAACAGCAGGATGCACCTCCTCTCCCCTCGGCCGTGGGAACATGACCTTGGGGCCAGCCATTGCTGCAGCCTGTGGTGCTCAGCCAGCTTTGCTGGCCGAGAAAATACCACGAGTCTGCTCCCCTGGGGGTCTGGATGGAGAGTTCGTCCCTGGCTGAAGGTAGCGGGTACCAGGCATCTTTGAACAGCACCTGGCCCTCGGCCTTGGAGCAGGGAGCCCGTGTTGCTCAGCGCACCCCATCCAGCCTGCATGCTTGCTGTTGAGCTGCACTGCCCGTGTCCAGGGCCCGGTGCCCGCAACCCCCGGCCTTGGCAGTCCCTGCCCTGTGGGGACAAAGGGCTTCCTATGCTCCAGCGCGTTGTGTGCGGGCAAGCCGTGTCTGAACAGCAGCCCTGGAGACGGGCGTCTCTGGGCACAGAACATCCCCCAGCAGCGCCAGGCTCTGAGACAGCTCCGTCTGCGCTGGCTGGGGTGTCTTTTCCCTCGTTGGTGTTTATTGTTTTATTCCTTCCTCGTTGGATCCTCCAGTGGTTGTGAGGCCCCTTTCTCCCATCCTGCTTTTCTCTAGCTTAGCATGACTACAGGCTAGCACTAGAAGTACCAGCACCAGCTACCAGGCAGACAACACAGGTGTGCCCGGCTCCGGGGGCTCTTCCGGGAGGTGCAGGTCCTTCCCCCGGCACTGAGCTGGCCCCCGCCTCTGCTTGGAGAAGAGATCTCCCACAGCGCAGTGGAGCAAGGTGGGAAGAACAATGCGTGTTACGTAGTTCTGTCCCAGCTGATTCTCTCCTCCTCCCAGACACGCCCTCAGCCCAGTCTATTTTTTGCCTTCACCCAGCTGCACCTTCCCAGGCACTTCCTCCTCTGCAGTCTGCCCTGACCAGGCTGGACAGACTGGTCCCCTTCCCCACAAGACAACCACACGCTTGTTCTTACTGCGCCTTCCTGCCTGCCCCCTGCGCATCCCTGCCTGCCCTGTCCTGCCCTGCAGCCAGCGTTTGGGCCCGGACAGCCTGGTGCTGAGGGCAGCATCCTCGAGTCTGCATCTTTGCTCCCTGCCTCTCTTGCCTGTTGCATCTGACCAGGGCACAAAGCTCAGGTCACGCTGGCAGAAAGAGCTGGATGGAGGCAGCAGCCTGAGCTTCTCCACAAGTGGACTGAGCCATCTTAAGAATTCAATGTGAAACCCCTCCGAGTCAGGGCTTTGTGGCGACTTGAGCTATAAGCGTAGCCTTGTCCAAATGCCTGGTCTGTACCAGCTACAGCCAGAAGCAGGTCTGGCTCCCATTGGAGCCCAGAGACCCCCTTGAGACGGAGAGCTGCTCCCAGGTAAGTGGGGGATTTCTTTAAACGAGTTCAGAGTTACATCCCACCCTTTCCCAAAGGCTCAGCACAGCCTACAGCAAACAAGCCACAGAGGATCCTCTGGCACTTGAGGGGTCTGCAGAGCTGTGGCTGCACTGCATAGAACAGAAGTTGCTGGTGTTTGCATGATCCCAAGCCAGCTCTGAGCAAGGACATGATGTACGCAGCTGTGGGGTTCTGCTCTGGCTTGGTGCAACACAGGAGGGGCATATAGCACCCCAGACCCCAGGTACAGGTCCGCTCAGCTGTGCTCTCTTCGAGGGGGAGGCAGTTCTTACAGGAGTCTCCTACCATTAGCTAAGTTGAATTTGGGCAGCCTTGCAAAGGGGCTTGGGGATGAGTGCCAGGCTTACTTTTCTAAGTTCTTGGGCTGACCTTAAAGCACAGGCTGGGCCCTCATGTAGCTGTATGCACCACAGAGGACCTGACACTGCTTGGAGGCAGGGCAGGGTCATTAAGAACAGTGACCTCTGGTTAGTTCCCCAGGCCAAGGGGAAGGCAGATAATGGTGAATTACCCAGCAGTGACCCGTTATCAGTTGATAACTGGGGATGGGCAAGCAGTGGGAAGTAAAGGAACCATGGTGAATGAAGTCACAGTAGTAAGTTATCCACACTCACCTGGATGGGAGCACGGGAGCACTAGTTTGCTGATTTCCATCTTGTTTCAACCAGGAATAAACACGAGAAGAAAAGTGAGGCCCACACCAAGGGGAAGCTCAGACAAATGCAGGCATCCATCCCTTAGCATGCGGGATGTGCCCCCCAGGCCCGTCACAGGTAAACAGCACCAGAGCACAGACTGCAGAGACAGGACTATACGTTTATTTAAAAAACCCAAAAGACACTTAACAAAAACCACACAGTAACTGGGAGACTGTGCCCCACCTAGGCAGTGCCAAGGGCACGGCGAGGACAGGGACTCTGCAGGTCTGACTGAGCCCAGGGCTAGAAGTGCAGGCACCACTTGCATTGGCCAGTACAGTCTGATTATGCTTCTCCAACCCAAGCCAGCAACAGTGCTTTAAAACAGCAGGAGACAATGTAAACGGTAGACTTGAAACTCCTGCCCGTGCCTGGGCAGGTGAGACAGCTTTGATGGCTGATGAGTTCTCAAAGCTTGAACTTGAGGGCAACAACAGTGGCTGGAAGAACACCTTGGAGGCAGCCAGCTGTGTCAGAGAGAGCAAGAGGAGTGAGTTGCTGCCAGGGTCTGGGTGCCATGCTGCACTTGTCCTTAAAGAGAATCCTGCAGAGCTGGCCACGCTGTTCCCTTGCTGCCCTGCATTAGCAGGGAACAGCCTCTCTATCCCAAAGGGAAAGGGAATGAGCAAATGTAGACAGCCAGTCTAAGGAGGATCACTTCGTCCTGGAACCTGGACCTTGCTCCCCACCCCAGTCCAAAGGGCAAGGACAGGGCTATCTATGGAGGACCAGTGCCCTTCTCTGTGCTAGGACAGATGAGGCACTTAGTAGATCATAGTCTGCTGATTTGCCTTTTGCATCTGGATGATCTTGCCAAAGCCACCTCTTCCCACGTCATAATCCGTCCGGTACTCATCTCGCACCTGGGGGCAGAGCAAGAGGAGGCATTAACACCCTCCACCTACTTACATGTCACAACGCTTTTAGGAGCCAGCTTCCTCTCCACCTCACCCCAGCAGTTGGTGGGCTGAAAGTCAGGGTGCAAGTTCATGTTTTTCAACTCGCTTGATAACACCCCATCACAACAGGGACAGGACAAGTGTGGGGCTGTTTTGAATGTCAAAGCAATGCAAAACAGTCCAAACACTGTTCAGTTTGGCTTTGCAGTCTGGCTTGACGGACTGTCAAGGTTGAACCCTCTGAAATCTGGGAATGAATCTCATCTTCCCACTGGCGCATCCCGTCTGACGAGACTGCCCTTGCAACCACACAACAAAAACACGGGGCTGGCAAGACCTTCAGGGGGTCATATCTAGGGCAAGCCCCTTGCTTGAGGTAGATTCATCTGTGTCAACCATCCCAGACTAGCACTTGTCTTTCCCGAGCACCGTTTCTTCCTCCCCGCTCGTTTCCTCCATCAATCTGACAGCATCTTATTGACAGCAGAGCAACATTCACTTTGCGCCGTCAGGAGCCGGGAACCCAGCTCTTCAGCAGCAGCAACTGTCAATCACTTACTCCAGTCCAGCATCAGATACTAAACCAGTTTGACTGGCTTTAGTTCAGTTATTGGGTCTACGCTGCATTACTCTTGCTTTGTGTTGGCTCAGTCATGGTGCGCAGCACCCAACTGAGCCCCGGGGAGCCATGTTCTAGACTGAAGTTGGTCTGTTGCTTACCTGTCCTCCCGTCTTTCCTCTCCCGTACTGCCGGCCCTCCTTAAACCCTGCGTCCCAGTCTGTCCGGATAATGCGGTCATCCAGACGGGTGCCATTAATAAATCTCATTGCATGTTCAGCTTCCACTCTTGTGTAATATCTGGAATAACTGATAAGGAAAATACAAGGTGCTGTTCTGCTGGGTAGGGAGGTAGAAAGAGAGAGTAATTTTATACAGCATGGAGGAACCCTGACTTTCAACTCAAGACCCAAACGCTAACTGGCTCCAGTCCCCTCCCAGCGCAGCACGAGGCCGCGCTTGTGCGTCTCAGCTCTGGCGCAGCGAAAGCAACAGCGAGGGGTCCCTTGCTTCAGGGAGAGGCCGGGCGCTGCCCCCAGGGCGCTAGACGTGCCCTTTTCTGGGACAGCGCGTGCCGAATTTGTACACAGGACTTCAAGCTGCATCAGCCCCGCTTCGAGCCTCGTTTGTAGGAGGCTCCTCGTTTAGCTCCCCGCGTGCCGCCGCTGAAGACGCTACTGCGCGGGTGAGCAACGCACCGCGCGGTCCCTCCGCCGGCCAGAGACCATGCGTGCCAGCACGAGCAGCGGTCCCACCCGGCCCGGCCCCGCCCCGCCCCACACGCGGAAAGGGCCGAGACCCGGCGAGGGGCAGCGAAGGGCCCGCCCAGAAGCCCCTGGAAGAGGGCACCACGCGACTGGCGGCCACGCCGTGCAGGCAGCGGCTGCAGGATACTCCACGAAGCAAAAGCCGCACGGCGTCTTCTTGATCTTGTCCAGACCCATGACGATGCGCTTGACGTCGCCACACTTGGAGAAGAGCTCCTGGATCTGCTCCTCCGTGGTGTAGAAGGACAGGTTCCCCACGTACAGCGTCGACGACGCCTTCAGCGACTTCTCCTGCAGGTACCGGCTCCCCTGGGGGCACAGCGGGCGTCAGCGCGGGCCGGCTACCCCCACAGCCCGCCGCACCCCCACCCCCCCCCCAGCCCCCGCCCC